AATTGCTTAGGCACTACGCCAGTTTTTTAAAAATTCATACGTAGGGCTGAACGATTAATTGCATTTGCGATATGAAAAAACAAGATTTTTCAATTGCAGAGGCTGCGATTACACTTGGTCATGTGACACGCGAGAGTAAAGAGGTGTGTTCGACTTGAAGATCGATCGGTGCATGACATCAAAGTACGGCGAGAGAAAGCATAAGGAGACGTCCGCGCACTTGCAGTACTTTGATGACACACACCCATCGGTCTAAGCAGCGCTGCTTCAAGTCAAACACATCTAAGCAGTCTTCAGAGGAAGCATCAAGTTGGCACGCTACAGTGTTGCCAAGGCCGCGGTTTGGGAAACCCCTCCAAAAAACGTGTATTTTACCCCCTGGAATGCGATTTTTTACCGGTGAACCCCCTTTGAAATGCGATTGGGCTAGTTTTGAGTAGCAATTGGGCGGGTTTTGTTGTGAAAACCTGGCAACTCTGGCACACTACATGCGGAAATGTTTGAAAGTGTATATAATGAACGTACTTCAAAACGGCACATTGAAATTACTCAAGCAGTAACAGTGTTACAATGCAATTCGTTACTGAAGACTTCGACCTTAAAATAATACATATAATAAGGTAATATATATATATTGTTATTTATTTATTTAAAGTCTGTCTAAAGTTAACAGACGGTGTTTGAAAAGTGCAGTCCACATGTTTATTACAGTGACTTGTAGTGTGGTAAAGCAACAGATTTGTTTTTATATTTCTGCAATCTACTTTAGTTTGTGTGATTTGTTACTGACTTTCATATTAATGTTTACACCAGGCTTATTTGTCAGTGCTTTATGTTGTCATAATTATTACATGCTTACAAGGTTGGAAGTTCAACAAATCAGTCAATATACTACTGTGACTGTAGTTGTTCAAAAATGTAATTCATATCAATTCATGCATCACCTAATTTCATCGTAACATATAGGCCTGGCCTACAGAAAAGAACATTTATGCTTAATCTATCTAATATTGTGTTGGTCATACTATACAATGATTTATAGCTTGTCTTTGTTGAATAATACAGAACATAAAGAGCTTTAAAAAATAATCGCAATCGCAATATTGGTAAAAATAAATAAATAAATAAAATCGCAATTAGACTATTTTCCAAAATCATTCAGCCCTATTCATACGTGTGTGGAATTCAAATCGGTTTACCGTTTGAACCGGTATATCACCCAGCACTACACCTGACTGACATTTCTTGAATTACACATGAAATCAAAATTAACTATATTTATTTTGTTAGCGCACTCTGCTATTTTTGTGGTGAACAATTCATCCGTGCAAGTCAATCCACAAAAAAAATTGTTTGCCTTCGTAATCCAAATCTGAAAATGCACCTCCCCTCTGAAATGACGGACCTTCTCTGAAATGACGGACCTTCTCTGATGACGTCAGTTTGACGGCTTGGGCTTGAGCATAACATCCTTAAACACGCCCCTCCAACTGTCAGTGTTGTTCTGAATGAAACGCTTACTTTACTACATCCAATCAGTTCGCAGTATAAAAAAACAAGCCACGCCCTCTGTTTTTCTCATTCAATCAGCCCTATTCATACGTGTGTGGAATTCAAATCGGTTTACCGTTTGAACCGGTATATCACCCAGCACTACACCTGACTGACATTTCTTGAATTACACATGAAATCAAAATTAACTATATTTATTTTGTTAGCGCACTCTGCTATTTTTGTGGTGAACAATTCATCCGTGCAAGTCAATCCACAAAAAAAATTGTTTGCCTTCGTAATCCAAATCTGAAAATGCACCTCCCCTCTGAAATGACGGACCTTCTCTGAAATGACGGACCTTCTCTGATGACGTCAGTTTGACGGCTTGGGCTTGAGCATAACATCCTTAAACACGCCCCTCCAACTGTCAGTGTTGTTCTGAATGAAACGCTTACTTTACTACATCCAATCAGTTCGCAGTATAAAAAAACAAGCCACGCCCTCTGTTTTTCTCATTCAATATTCCGTTTCTCTCAGAAGTACGTCACAATACGGAAGTAAAGTCGGTCGCAACTTCCGGTTCACGCGGACTTTAACCCTTCTCTAAACCACACTTCAAAAAAATCCATCGTCGACATCAACAAAAACTAAAACATAACCCAAACTCTAAGCTCAGTCATGCCAAGATACACACACAGCGGTTTTCCACAACTCACAGAAAGGCAGCCTGAACATGTTCAGCTCTCATCTTTTACTGGTGTTCACCATTACAAATGTGATCATATTAGCACCTTTAAATGTTTACATGATGAGGATGTAAATGAAACTGAAAATGCAAAGCAGCTCAGCACACTAAAAGCTTCTGACGTGACCCCTATGTTTACCAGGCTAACCATAGATTCTAACAAACCATTACAGTTCTTGCTTAAAATCATAATTTATTAGTGAATCTTCTCGAGGGCATGTCTACAGGTGGGCAAATTAAATCAGTCAAGTTTTAGCACTCTTTAACACAAGGTCTTTTATTGGCATCTATGGTTCCGTGAAGAGCCTTTAACGTCCATTGAACCTTTCCATTGCACAAAAGGTTCTTTATGGTGGAAAAAAATGTTCTTACGATGATTAAAATATTCACGCTGAGGAGAGAAAAAAAGGGTCATTTCAAGAACTGTTTACTGAAAGGTTCTTTGGGGAACCCAAAATGGTTCTTATATGGCATTACTGCGAAATCGCCTTTTTTATTTTTAAGAGTGTTTTTACATACTCTCTTGTTGATGTTGATTTTTCACTCTTTGTACATGATACATGATTCTGGTTGGCTAGTCGCTACAACCAGTGGTAAAGTATTTCTAAATGATGATCGTTGTCAAGGTCAACACTGTATAACTAACCACTATATAACTATGTTGTCTTTGATTTATTTGGTAAGCAGCCATGTAATATGCAAGATCAAGTACAGTAAAAAAAAATAAAAAATAAAGCAACCCTGAGTTTTTAAATTAAAATTATTATTATTAAATTTGACAGATTGAATAAGACCTCAACGTTAAGGGGGCTTATATCAACCTGAGACTTATATCAACCTTCCATTTTAAGGGTCTGATAGCCATGTTTGGTTTATTTTCCAATAAGCACTGACTGACTGTACATTATCCATTTCAAAGTGCAAACAAATAAACTCCCTCCTTTGCACAGCCGCACAATAAACAAACTTTACATTTCACACACTTAAAATAATAACTGTAAAAATAAAAGTGCTGCCCATGTGTTCAAATTAACTTGCATTCAAATGTTTGGAAAGATTTTTACCAGAACAATTTTATTTGAACGTTTACCGTCTTGAGCTACTCTCACCCCACATAAGCAAATGCTCACCCGGGGATGGCATCATTGTAACATCACTGCTGTTTCTGTGCTCATTCTCTCTCACATGTTGTTGTTACCGCAGTTTTACAGTAGTAACAATAGCTGTAGTAAGTATGGCATCTGGGCTGGAAACTATGGTTGCTATGGTGACTTATGTATGACTATCAAAATCATCTGTACTCAAAGAAAAAATAGGTTTGCTACTTACAGCTCAGGCAAAATATAATTAAGAACTGCTCAGGAGAAGATTTGTAAATATGATGAGATAAATTCAAGGCATCAGCCCTTTCATGATGTCCATCTGAATGTGTGTGCGGTGTGATTGACAGCAGACAGCCACTGCCATTCTCATCCCTCCTCATGAGCTCGATGTGTCGGCTGTTTTCCATTCACAGTGATTCAGTTGTGCATAGAAATATTCACGCTGAGGAGAGAAAAAAAGGGTCATTTCAAGAACTGTTTACTGAAAGGTTCTTTGGGGAACCCAAAATGGTTCTTATATGGCATTACTGCGAAATCGCCTTTTTTATTTTTAAGAGTGTTTTTACATACTCTCTTGTTGATGTTGATTTTTCACTCTTTGTACATGATACATGATTCTGGTTGGCTAGTCGCTACAACCAGTGGTAAAGTATTTCTAAATGATGATCGTTGTCAAGGTCAACACTGTATAACTAACCACTATATAACTATGTTGTCTTTGATTTATTTGGTAAGCAGCCATGTAATATGCAAGATCAAGTACAGTAAAAAAAATAAAAAATAAAGCAACCCTGAGTTTTTAAATTAAAATTATTATTATTAAATTTGACAGATTGAATAAGACCTCAACGTTAAGGGGGCTTATATCAACCTGAGACTTATATCAACCTTCCATTTTAAGGGTCTGATAGCCATGTTTGGTTTATTTTCCAATAAGCACTGACTGACTGTACATTATCCATTTCAAAGTGCAAACAAATAAACTCCCTCCTTTGCACAGCCGCACAATAAACAAACTTTACATTTCACACACTTAAAATAATAACTGTAAAAATAAAAGTGCTGCCCATGTGTTCAAATTAACTTGCATTCAAATGTTTGGAAAGATTTTTACCAGAACAATTTTATTTGAACGTTTACCGTCTTGAGCTACTCTCACCCCACATAAGCAAATGCTCACCCGGGGATGGCATCATTGTAACATCACTGCTGTTTCTGTGCTCATTCTCTCTCACATGTTGTTGTTACCGCAGTTTTACAGTAGTAACAATAGCTGTAGTAAGTATGGCATCTGGGCTGGAAACTATGGTTGCTATGGTGACTTATGTATGACTATCAAAATCATCTGTACTCAAAGAAAAAATAGGTTTGCTACTTACAGCTCAGGCAAAATATAATTAAGAACTGCTCAGGAGAAGATTTGTAAATATGATGAGATAAATTCAAGGCATCAGCCCTTTCATGATGTCCATCTGAATGTGTGTGCGGTGTGATTGACAGCAGACAGCCACTGCCATTCTCATCCCTCCTCATGAGCTCGATGTGTCGGCTGTTTTCCATTCACAGTGATTCAGTTGTGCATAGGACAAACTTAGGCAGCTGCACTTGATGTATGAAATCAAGGGAGCGAGGTAATATCCCAATTTGGCTGTGCTTACCCTTGAGACGGTGAGGTCTGTCATGAGCTGATCGAAGGCCCGCGTCTCCTCCGCCTGTTTCTGGTTGTGCAGCGCGATCTTCTCGCTGAACTTCCGCGGGTTGGAGCCACTCGAGCCCGGGGATCCAGACATGGTTGGGCCGCAGAGTTTCGAGATCAACTTCGCAGGGAACTAACGGTTGAATGTTGTCGATAGAGAAGTCAAATGTGTTTAATTGGTCCTTTCATGCCTGAAAAGCGTGTAAGAGTGCAGTCCAGATGCTTTAGAGAGGTTTGACGAGGTGGCTTTAATGACATGAGATTTGCCACCATTAATGAGCTGGAAAACGCGATGAAACCGTATTGTTAACGACTTAATGGACTTAATTCAGCTTAAGTGCAAAGTAACGAGAATATATACGAATTCTTTATACTTATAACGCCAATATTTGTATAAAGGCGATGAGCAGAATTTGCTCAAAGTTTGTCAGGAAACTGGACATCGCTAAATATTCAAGTGTTTATGACTGTTTTCTTTGGCATCACTAAACCAGCTCTTGCTTGGTATCGTGGGGAAAAATGTGGAATACTGTGCAATGCCAACCAGAAAAGCTTAAATATTAACTTGGATTTATAGTAACGACTCTAGCTAGCGAGCTAAATACTTTGGATTCTGACGAGAACACTTATTATGTATATTGTTGTTATTGCGCATACATATTTAAGTGCCTACCATTATTTACGAATTAAGATAGACAGCTGGTGATATAACTGTCTAAATGCGTGTAATTGATTGATATTGCTCGGTCAGTTACAGGATAAAGTCAGGCGTGACAGCTAACCAGCTAATGAGCGATATGACACGATCGAAATATCACAACCGATTGATCACAAACGAACTATAAATGACAACAAACAGTCGGCCGACTCTTTAAACGGCCCACTTATATGGTCAATTCAATCAATCGTATTTTCTACAACACTGAACTTAGTTTTGTGAGATTTCAACAAGTGGTCTCGCCAATGTAAACCTCATTACGCATTCAAAACTCATATAAACAGGTAAGCGCGACAGCAACTTCGCAGTAAGGTAGCGAATCAAACTCGGCACCAGACACTCACTGTCCTGCGGTAGGACAACCACCGGCCAGTGATCGCCCGCTGTTGTCATACGAGTCTGAGGAAATGTGTAGATGTTACTGATTCGTGAAATGTAGCGGTGAAATCTGATCGTGTAGTCCGCGCGTACTCCTTTGGATTCTCTTCTCCGTGTCCATCATCTAGATCCACCTGAACTGTGATGCACCGATTCGTGACTCCACGGCACACATTTGTTTGGTCAACTCCGACGATCCCTCACTCCGAATGAAAACAAGCCGAGGAAAAAAAAAATACACAAGCCTGCCCCAAAACTGTATACCAATTATTTTTTTTTAAAGTTGTGGCCACAAGGAGGCAGTGGAATTCCCTTAAAGGGATACACAGCACAATTATTCATGTTAAAAGTGTCATCAAAAATCTTATTAGAAATAAAAATGAAAACTTTTTATACTACAAAAAGCAAGACCAGCTGTAGGACACACTCGGTGCTGCTGAACTAAATCAGATTCCTCTTGTTACCTCAATGGCAGTGTTGGGGAGTAAGTTACATGTAACGGAATTATGTAATGTAATTACAAAATAAATGTAACTGTAATCTGTTACGGTTACTGAGAAAAAATGTAATTCAATTACAGTTACTTAAGAAAATGATACTGATTACAAAGGGGGTCACGTCTGAATATTTTCACACACATACAGATTTGATTGATTTCCAAAATTGCAGTGACTGCTCTAAAATATGAGACACCAATGTTTCAGAAGACAGATAGGACATATGCTTATTTGTTTTATTTCCTATCTGGTTTTATGTATATGCTTTACAGTACTAACAGTTTTTTTCCGAAGCATCGTTAGATGCCATTCCTGATTTCAAAAACCGTATCAAAGACAGATAGGACATATGCTTATTTGTTTTATTTCCTATCTGGTTTTATGTATATGCTTTACAGTACTAACAGTTTTTTCCCGAAGCATCGTTAGATGCCATTCCTGATTTCAAAAACCGTATCATAACTATTAAACTATTTCTTGCTATGATTTGAAATCTATATTTAACCTCAGAACGATCTCAAAGTAAAAAGAGCTGCTAAAGTCTGATTTTGTGGCGTCTGCACTTTAAAATGAAATTATTATAATCTTAATTCAAGTGATGAAGGATTTTGAAAGTCTGACAGTAATCAGTGTTGAGTACTGTAAGGTTAACCGTGCCTGCTTTAAATGTTTCAAAGTGATTAACAGTTGAAAACATTTGCTCAAATTGAATAACGTCATTGAAATAGTTACTACTACTTATTACATTTTAAAAAGGGTAACTTGTAATCTGTAACCTATTACACTTCAAAGGTAACCTTCTCAACACTGCTGAATGGGATCGCTTCTTTATTATCTGTGTACACTCTTAAAAATAAAGGTGCTTCACGATACCATAGAAGAACCTTTTTGTCTAAATGGTTCCATAAAGAACCGTTAACATCTGAAGAACCTTTCTGTTTGGCAAAAGGTTCTTTGTGGCAAAATAAGGTTCTTCAGATTACAAAAAGGTAAGAAAGAGATGGTTCTTTAAAGAACCTTTGACTGAATGGTTCTTTGTGGAACCAAAAATGGTTCTTCTATGGCAGGGGTGGCGAACGTCAGTCCTGGAGAGCCGCAGCCCTGCAGAGTTTTCTATGGCATCGCTTGAAGAACCTTTTGAAGCACCTTTATTTTTAAGAGTGTAGCTGCTGGAAACATCATTCTGTTTGTGGATTGTGTTACTGGCTATATCGATAAACACATTTAAGATGAGATGCGTACATAGCCAAACTAAGCACCATGGGTAAATGGTGAAACAGGCACTGAGCTAGGTCGGATGTTCTCAATTCCAGACCCATGAAATGATATTTAAATCCACATTATGATCTCAGTAAAATAACAGACCTATCTATGAGAGTGTCTATCATGACTGCAACAACATACAACAGTCTGTCTTTCTTCCTGACAACTTCTATTCATTTTTTCAGGACAGTTCTACTGATCAGATTTACTCAAGGCTCCAGGCTATCACACCATCATCATCCCCAGTTTTGTTGTGAAGGCATGTGTAGGCATATCAGTCTATAGTTCCTTTATACTTAAAGAAGACCTCTATTGTGCCAGTTCTAAGAAGCCCAGCATTATGGGCAAAAGAGATAGGAGGAGGAGGATATCGCCACTGCTGTCTTGTCACGCTCAGGTAAGAGAGGAGCATGTGAGGATGATCTTGGTAAAATATATCTTGGTGTTCAATATCAAAGTGACTTCAATAGTCATCATCAACTGTAGGACTTGGAGTTTAAAGAAAAGAGCACTAATGAGTTATCCCAACATCCTCGACTCTCTGAAATCTAGTGCCTGTCAAGGATGTATGCATACTCCATTCTTAACTTTGTAACCCTTTTTATTACACATTTAATAAAGTGGCATCTAGGTATCACCTTGGAAATCATCTTTTTGTAAAAAAGTCATAACTAGTCTGAGCCGGTAGCATTGTGGGAGCCTGAAACACGAGGGCTGTGTTTCAGGCGAAGTTTGAGTCTGGATTTATGGTCGTAAAAATCGTGGATGTAATTACTTATAGTTGATTCTGTGAACAGCAGAATTAGCGTACTATATTTGCATAATATTTGGACTATAGCTGTACATTTGTTCACCTCAATTAGTTAAAAGTAGCAGTTTTATTTTAATCTTATTTGTATGCGTTTGTAGTATTTCATATTTTGAATGAGCTTTTATTGATATATTTTCATTTCAGTATAAGTTTAAATAATTTTATGTGCTTGTCTTTTTTATATATATATATAAGCTTGAATTTTTATTCAGTTTTGTTTTTAGTAATATTAGTACTTCAGCTTCAAACTTATTTTATTTCAGGCAACATTTCTAATTTTCATTGAAATGTAGTTACATTTTTTTAAGGTCGGAACGTCGTGAGCTCTGGCACATGTCACGATTGAGTTTATCCAAAAATCGTACGGAGGCAGTCACACACGACACGAATTTACGACGTAAGCATTACGTTTCGCGCCATTTATAAAAATCTGGATTCTGAGGACGAAATAGTCTTCTTTGTGGCAGGCGGCTTGTGACGGCCCAAAAAAAAAAAAACACGAAGACAAAGGACATGGCAAAGAGAACGGCTGAAAAGCAGAGAAAAGCATGGACTTTCTGTTCTTCATAAAGAACTCGAGGGAGTAGGCCATTTCTGAATTTCTGCTTGTTTCGCCGGAAATACAACAGGCATATTAATTCATAAAGCTGAATGGCAAATTTGGCACATTCGGAATAAAAAAAAAATAATAGAACTGTATAATTAAACAAAAATTATTATAGACTATATGGTCGCCGGAAATACAACAGGCATATTAATTCATAAAGCTGAATGGCAAATTTGGCACATTCGGAATAAAAAAAAAAAAATAGAACTGTATAATTAAACAAAAATTATTATAGACTATATGGTTTTTGTCATCTTCTGATTGGAACTTCAGATGGATCGCCAAATCGTCTCGTTCAACTGCACATAGCCTACGCCACGAATTTAAACCGACAGCATCCGATTTTTTTTGACATGTTTGAAAATTATCGGGAGGACGGGAGGTGCTCGTAACGTCTCGGATCGGCCCGTAATTCTTCTCACACAGTACGAGCCGCGACCATGCGAGCATCTGCAATTTTCTCCCGAGAGAAAAAAAAATCGCCTGCGAGCTCGTACGACAGCAAAAATCACACCGTGTACGCCCGCCTTTAGCTGTCACGGCTGTCATCCGTCAGAATTGAACGACAACAGCTGGGTTTTTTTTTGGTAGCTGTCCTTATATTAATTTATCATTTTGAGCAGGAGTCCAGGTTTCATCGGGAAAACAATTTTAAAATGCACCTACTAGGAAGAAGAGCAATAAGACGGCATTATAAAATGAAAAAGTGAGCTTTTTTATTTTGAATGGCGAAGACGTGCTCACCCACAGACATTCACAGGTTCATTTTGAAGTATTAGCAAAACAACAAAGCTAATGCTTTTCACGGAACTTATGTAATTACCCATTACCATTGTGATATAGCCTGGTTCGTTGGTCCGTTAGATCGGATTGCTTTCTCACTACAACCGAACCGCTCCAGAGTTCGTTTTTAGTCGAGCCGAGACCACCTCGTTCAGGCGATCTCGGACCGATTGTTTTGGCGCGGATCCGGGCGCGATTGCCGTGTTCACATATGCCCAAACGAACCGAGCTAAGGGGGGAAACGCGCCAGGTTCCGAAACAACGGGCCAGGTGTGAAAGCACCCTAAAAATATCAAGAGAATAACTTTTTACCTGGTATTCTAACATCAATGTCTCCAAATGGACTCCCATAAGCTTAGCTTTCACATCAAACACGCCTACAACCTCAGATGGTGAGATCTCGAAAATGACATTCTTATACCTGTAAAAATAGGAAACGAGCATATTATTACAGGACGACAAGAGGAAATGTAGATATATAAACTGCAAGACATGAATAGATGAAGTCAAAAACACAACCAGAAGTTGAAACTCACTGATTTGGCTGCAGGTCCTCGATGTCAATGAGCACTCCCTTCTCATGCAGACGGGCTGCTGTGTACTTCTGCGATACCTGCTTACTCTTCTTCGCCTTATTGTCTCCAGGTTTCTTAGAAACTCTGTGTGTGAAGCAATCGCATTTTCCATGAACTCAACGGCAATTATCCAATCAGAGATAACGACATGAACTAAACTGGACAGTAAATACTCCAAACCCTCTTCACTCACTTGCCCTTTCTGGCTAGATTGTCCATGCAGGTCTTGATGTATTGATTGTAGTAGTCAATCTGCACATTGTAGAAATTGGTCTTGGAGTTCAGGGCAGCATTGGTCTGCTGAAGCTTCACCAATTCTGCCTTTCGCCTCTGACGGTATCGCCTCTGGTTCCGGATGTCCTACAAACATCATCAATGAATAAATCAAGACGCTTTAATCTAAAACTAAATAGCGCATTTGAAGTTTCAAAGGACATAGGAATGGTACCTTGGAGATGTCATTGATAAGATCCTGGTATTTCTTCTCAGGGTGAACTTTGCCCAACTCTCCTAGCCTTTGCAAGTTGCTCTTGATTTTGTCCTTCTTGCCTTGCAAAGTAAGACTGTCATCCACAACTGGTTTTGCTTGCTTCATCTTCTCCGGGGTCTTAGCATCTCGAATGGCTCGTCGCTGCATGGCACGCTGGTACTCGGTTTCCTATTCCAAAAACCAAAATGCTGATTTGAAAACAAAAAAAAACTCTGATTTGATTAAGTTTTTCATTTGTAAATTCTGCAATTGAAGTACCTGCTCTGGTGAAGCTACAGTCTCCAGAATCTCAGTAAGTGTCTCTCCTGGCTGAAACCTGATCACATCTACTATGAGCCTCTTGGTGCTAAATGAGAAAGATGAATGGATAAAGATTCATGTTAAAATGTGTTAGCAAGTAAAAATATTCATTCTATAACCTCGTGACCTACAAAGGCAGCAACTCCATGCACTTCGCAACTGCTTTCTGTACAATAGACTTAAATTACAATTGATTGCCGAGCTAACATTTCTATAGTCTAAAGCAACCTTTTCACTCTCTTTGATAAACAACAAATACCAAACAACAGACTGGAAGTCATTCATTTCCAATGAAGAGTAGTACCGAAGCTGCATGAAGTCCCGACCATATGTGTATACGGAAATTTTAGATCCAATTTAAGCTTTGGATGCATTAAAATATTTGAAGTTTCGTGGCAAGACCAGATGTGATGTATTCTAATGTACTGTAAGATCAGTGCCAAACAAAGTCAGAATCACCAATCATTTTTCACCAAAATGTTATTCTTTAAACATTGTTTCTTTAAAATGGGCAGTTATGAATATTTATGTCCAAAATAATTATTTTAAAATTTGAAATGAATTATTTACATTGATTAGACCTAGAAAACCTGCTATGTTTTTTTTAAAGACATACTGGTGGTTATTTTGTTTTTTGTGGATATATTCATGCATTCATAATTCACTCATTTTTACAACCATTGAAAATTCCGTCCAACTATGAGTGAAGGGTGAAAATCATATGCAAATGTGGGAAATAGTGGAAAGGTTTGCATTAGTGGATTATCTTCTCTGGGAAGGAAACATGCTGCCTTAGAACTTGGTACCTCACTAGGTTTTATAACAGAAGAATTTGAGTAAGGCTTTGTCCTTACTTGAGGAGGAGAGTCTTGGCATCCATTTCAGCATTGGCCTTATCAGGAACATCAAATTTGTTGGTGAGGGTGAGAGAGACTTCTGTCTTACCCATCATTTCCTTATTAGGATCATCAGGGGGAAGTGGGCTCTCACCTGTGAGAGAACAACAGTCCATCACTCGGACTCTGTAGGACCTCAGCGTCCTGAGACATTAAAGCATATCTCAGAGGCTCACCTATTAAAGACTCAATGGTGGGCACTTCTCCCAGGTCATCTAGCAACTCATGAATAGGATCATTGTGGTCTGGTGCGATGGCATCCTGGTGATCTAGCAAGAGCTAAAGAAGATACCACAATATATTCAGTTCTTAAAACCAACTATACTAGATGTGATCTGGTCACATAGGAGAAATTTCACCTAAATTTCGTTGGTATAAAAGGTCCACTTTCTATTGTCATTAGTGTAGCGATGCTTGAAGCACCACTTATACAGAAGTCACTTTCAAACCAATCAGCTTTCTGCTGATCAACATACTGAATTTTTCGTGAACAACTTGAAACCAAAGAAAAATATTTTTGAGAAATTCTTTTTTGCCCCCAGTCAAAACTCCCAGATACCAATTGAAATGTCTGAATTTCAAAATTTCGCAGAGCAATGGTAAATGTGACCACACCTTAAGTCTCAAATAGTTACCGTGTGAGTGTTGATGATCTCCCCAATGGAAATGTAGATCACAGGCTTGGTCAAGGTGACCAGGTCAGAGTACTGATCCACATTGAACTTGTCTTCCAAAGATGGGACGTCACAAGCAGACAGAAAGAAACGTCTGGGAGATAGAAAGGTTCTTGCATCAGTACGAAAATAAAGAAACTGCTTGAAATAAAGAAACAAATACAGGCACTTAGATACCTAAATTTCTGGTAGGAGTTAGAGAGGTATTCATTGATGGGGTTCAGATGGGCGTTGTCTCCGAGGAACATCTTATTGGAGGCTGCGTGCTGCAGCATTTTGGCGATTGATCCCAGGTTTCGCCTCTGTTCTGTGGTCAGCTGACCTCCAGCCGATAGATCAATGATGTCAAAGGCATCAGGAGCCACAATAGCAGGGTTCATGTAGCGGTAGTACAGCAGGTTGCCCACAATCTTAAAAGATAATAGGGATGAGTATGTCCTCCGTTTTTTAAGCAAACACAACATCTGTGCAATTTTTAAAACCTATTATCTATGTTTCTATCTTTGTGCAATTGAAGATCCTCTGCTTCTACAAAGGGGTAAACTAAATTACAGACAGAAAGAGAAGCAGCAAGGCAAGAATAAGAAAGACATGGCTCACCTTTGCTGGGTGCTCATCAAAAACCTCTTGAAAAGGGTATAAGCAAGGGCCAAGAGGAGAGCTGGAGCCAGGCCGTAGAGAAAGAGAGAGACAGAGCAGGTGTGGGACAGATAGATAGAAAGAAAGAGAAGAGGAATCTCTTTCCAGAAGAAAAGGAACGAGATGGAAACCACATTTATTATTCAAAGTGAGGAGACTGGAGTATCACAACAGAAGAGAAGCACAAGAGCAGAGAAATGCTCAGGATTCAACACAATGTTCCACAGTGGGACACAACTGATATGGAGAAGCAGCGGGTGCCAGTTTAGCGAAGAGGTAATCAGAGTGTTCAAGACAACTGAATAAAGGCTGTCTTGGTTTTGAGACTAAAGTGTACAATTACATCAGCCAAACGCTGCACAGGAATAACAATGCTGTGATTTCTAGCAGCTGTGATGTAACAAACCTTCAAAAGCTCATCCTCTGTGGCATCAGGGAACCTTTCGTTAAGCGTGTCCTTCAGTATCTTGGCAATGAACCGCATGCCATATCTACAGGGAAAACCCAAATGATTCTTAGTTCTTATATTTGAATGTTGCTATAGTTGAAATAGCCCTTATTCCAAAACGTAAATAAGTCTACAAGAAAACAATCAGTCAGTAATACACTGTAACATGGAAATAGTTCTTGGATCATTTCAAGTCAAACATGAATAAAAGTTTTGATGAGTTAGCATTCAGTAAATTCATAATTGTATCATAATTAATTCATAATTGCTAATTGTGCTCTGATGGATTCAGTGAATTATTTATTTGAATGATATATGAGGAGTTCATGAGTTATTAAAGAACCGAATCATTCACTGTTATTTTTTAGTCTATTCAAAGAAAATAAAAGGTCATATAAAAATGGCGTTATTTTATGTGGTATTCTGCCCTCTTAAGTTAACTCTTAGAGGTTTAGCTTAGTAAAACCTCAGTAAAATAAGAGCAGCAGCACAGCACCACTCTTTAACAGTGATGTAATGCTGATTTATACAAGAGCATGAACAAAGAAACGGCTCATGTAACAGACATGTATTTGAATATTCAAATCAGGGCTTGCTAAAAGTCATTTTCATATATTCAAGAACAATTTATGGTAGGTGCATCTAAAAGTAATTTGTTGATCCCTGAGGGAAATTCAGGTGGCGGGATTTTATCAACTCACGGAATTTTATCCACAGAAACAATTATAGCTGAGAGGAATTTGTCTGTGACTGTCCTCATGTTCTTGATGGAGGCTTCCAGGCGGGTTCGAACCTCCTCGTGACTCATTGCCTGTTCTGGAGTCACATCATACGGCAATTTACTGCAAAACAGAATTACACGGTCATTGCAACATTAGGTAGCGGGTCATCTAGCATTACATTTTATTTGTGCATCTGGATTTAATCAAATTAATTTCAGTACTTACTTTTATTCTTTTACATGTCTTAAAAAGCCATTAATTATAAGTATAAATGATTGCTAGTAAAGTAGTGGCTCTCAACCAAGAGCCTGGGGCCCCCTAGGGGGCCTCAGCAGACTTCCAAGGGGGCCACAGAATGACTTAAAATTACTTAAATGAACAAATTATTATAAATGTATTAAAATTTAATCTAAATCAAAATGCTAAAAAAGCATCAAATTAAGACTGAAATCATATTTCTTTATATTTTCCCCACAATAAAGGCCTTTCCACACTGAGCGCGATGCGAAAAGCGAGGCGAATCGCAGACGAACTGTACTTTCACATCAAGCGCGAAACGATAGTTCACCTTCTGCTAATTCACGCCTCCACGCTAGGTGGCGCCAACCAACAATGCATTTTTCCTCAGATATGCATCTCGTAAATGGATTTAACATCATCCGCTGCTCAATATACAGCATTAAATTAAGATAAACAAGGTTCTACACCAGAGACAAACTATCTATATTGCTTACAAGAATAGGCTACATCCTAAAATATAATTAGAAGTACAATTAGCATCAAGCTACACTTGAAAATGTATGTAATTATTAATGTATTTGCTTACCCACTTTAAACCATCATCGAGTGCTTGCAATAACTTCCAGTTGTGATCTATAGTTGATTTTGATTAATAAGAGGACACATGCACTCTTTGTATGTTTAATAACGCTACACTGCTAATATTTGTCATAAACATCCTTTATTGCTATAAAAATTCCATGAGCTGCATACAAAAGACATACAGAAAATATATCGTCATAATCATGTCTATTTGCTTTCATATTTCATGTGTAGAAAAAGAGTGAACGTGCTCTGACAACACTCGCGCACGTGGAAGAAAACGGACGCTGCTCTACTGTGATTACATAATTCAGTGGACAATTAATAGAAATGTTATTCTGTATAAAGAACATGTGACAATAAATCTGTTCTCAAATACCAACGAGAACAAGAACTCAGCTTCCACTCTCTTCTCCAGGATACTCTTCTTCTGTGTTTGTTTACACTGGTTTCCGAAACAGCGCCACCACTCTTGCCTTTTTGTGCAACAGCAGCTGCACCGGTCACGTGATCCTAGCTCAAATCTTATTGGACGGCCCGTGTCTTTGCTTTGCGAAACTGAAAAGATTTGTTGGACTGGTTCGTAGAAAAAAAAAAACATTCGCATTTTCGGTGCACGAATGTTTGCGTTCTATGTGGAAGCATCCATAGAAATCTATTGTTTTATTCCAGCGCGTCATCATGTCCGATATTCGTTTCGCTTTTTTGCACTCAGTGTGGAAAGGCCTTAAATGCTGTTTTTATTGAAGAACGTACAGTTCTGGAATATAGAACATAACCTGTGGTATCACAAAATAAATCAAAGTTAAATCATTTAATACATTAAATGAATTAACCACATTAATTAATTTGATATATCAATCAAAGTTTGAAAACAAGCAACTTTGTCATAATTACAGAAGAAAATACTGAAAATATCTTGGCGTATATGGAGGGGGAGAATATTGTGTTAGACAGTGGGTTGAAAACACACCTGGCCTCTCCAGTTTGACTCTCCATCTGGTTCACCCAGCTCTTGTATATGTCGACTGGGTCAGTTTTAATGTTGAGCGTCTTGTCATCCATGATTTCCTTCACGACCGGAGCCAGGATCTGCCGGAGTGCGTTCTGACCTCGGGCTCCTCTGTTAAAGCTCACCACCATCTTAATGACTGTTGGGTTTCCTGTGACAATCTCCTGGATGTGGTCCACTTTTGATCTGCATTTACAAGACAAACATTACTGAGAGATCGTCAAAGATGCAAATGTATCTTGATAAATAGAGTATATAATTTATGGTATATAGGCCAGGGCGATAAAACGGTATCGATATTTATCGACGGTACACCTTTTTCGATAACGACAGAAAAAATGTTCGATATGGCGCACGATATAGGCACGTGCTATGAGTGACGCAGACAGCACACACAAACACAAACACATGCTGAAATGAGTGCTGTGCCTGCCTGTGATGAGGAAATTGTGACTAAAGAATGAATATTAGTTGAATTTAAAATAAACATTTGCATTTGAATGTTAGGTGTCCATCAGGGAGCGTCATCAGTGGTGCGCGAGATGCAGAGATAATGATGTAAGCGACGTTGTTGCATTTGAATGTTTTGTTAGTCTAGCCCACGAGACGCACCGCTGCTGTGTTATGCATTCAAAATATTAGAGAAATATAGAAGCTCAATGCGGAGAAGATCTTGATTAGGTTAAATCAAACCGAAACCAAGCCATTCACACAGAGCGCATATTAAGCGCATTTTTTAGACGGACAAATACAACTGCTGCATTCGCGTCTCACACAAGAGATGAATAGAAAGCCATGCAAAGTTAAAACAGTTTAAACTTTTAGAAAACACGTCATGAATTTGTGGAGGTTTATTCCTTTTCATTGCGTCTCATATGTTTTTAAATGCAATCTGTGTGAATGGCGCTTTGGCTCTTTGGATTAAGCAATGCATAAATACATGATGCTGTTTTGTTCATAATTGTTTATGCAATTTACGAAATTATATATTTGATTTTTATGAGTTAATTTTGACGTAATGCACGTTTTTTATAGACAATTATTTCCTTGCGTTTACAATTAAAATGCGCTATTATTTTGCTCATTGCACCCTCCTGTGGCCTCGGGAGACAAGACAAAAGTTTCTTTAAGACCTATTTAATCTGCATAGAAAACATTTGAAATGAGATATTACATTTTTATTTCGTGTTTGATTGTTAAAACAAAAAATATTTGTTGTTTGTCTCAATAAATTGGGTTAATTTAAAAATACAGTGGTTAAATGTAAAAAATAAATTTTTATATTGCTCTGTTTTAAAAAAGGTTATAAAAAATGTCAATAATTATCAATACCGAACGATATAAAACATTATATCGGTGATACATTTTTTAGCTATATCGCCCAGCCCTAATGGTATATCATGAAATTCCTACTTGATTTCCTCCTGCAGCGCCGTTTTGAAGAGATTGAGCAAGAGGTACTCTTCACGCTGATTAGAAGCGTAGTTGTACAATGTGAAAATGACAGAATCCATGAACTTGGTGGACTTGTTCTGTGGCATCTGAAAGATCAGCTTGGCCAGATAGGTTGGATTTGTCTGAGGAAAATTAACAGAGAGGGGAATTAACAGGACTTTAGTGACACTGATTTTCAAACAATTCTTAGGGAAGAGTTGATGAGTTTTACCTGTAACAGGTAAAAGAGGAACTGATATGCCTCCAGCTTCTCCCTCTTCTCTTTACTAAGTGCCTTCAGGCCTCCTTTCTGCTTGTTCATCATCATGAGGTTGGACAGCTCACCCTTGTTCTTCTTAGTGAGCTTCTTGCTGTGAGAGACCACCTCCTGAAGGGTGATCTTGTTTTTCACCAGCAGGCCGATCTTGATGTCCATCAGATTGAGGTCGTTCTCCAGCTGCTGGTTGGAGCGGATGTTGGTGATCACCTCTTCTCTCAGCCGCATCAGTTCCAGCTCTTCCTGGAAGTCCTGATCACTGTGATCCAGCAGGTGGACAAACTTACGAACAACTGCCATTGGAGGATCATCTGCATTGACTGTTAAAGACAGGATTTAGAGTCGTATGGCATTTAGTGCTAGTGTATTCCTATACAGGTTGGAGGAAACAGCTTGAAGGTATGCACTTTAAAATGTGCAGTCTTTTTCTTCTGGGAAAACTGAACAAAAGCACTGATGACTCATCCTGCACTCTAATTCTGGTCCAATTAAATGTTATATAAAGTGTCCCTCCCCTTAAAGGTAAAGTACACCCTAAAAAAAATGTTCCTCATTTACTCCCCCTAATGTAGTTTTGAACCTGATTAACTTTCTTTCTTCTGCAGAACATAAAAGAAGATATTTTGAAGAATGTTGGTAACCAAACAGTTGACTTCCATTTTATGGAGAAAAAAAAAACATTGAGACATTTCTCAAAATAAATTTTTTATGTTCCACAGAAGAAAGTAAGTCATAAAGGTTTGGAATGACATGAACAGGAGTAAATGATGGAGATCAAATGATCACGCCATTTTATGGTGTTCACGCTTTAACAGTATACAGAAACAACAATTACATGGCTTCAAAAAAAAAAAAAAGTTATCTATATGGATATTAGAGGCATGTTCTAAGTGCATGGATGTGAAACAGAATTTGAAGTACATAAAATGCTTACTGAGTGTTTTGTAGTCATCTCTTGCTTTGTTGGCTCGAATGAAAGCCTGAATTTTCACCACATCATTTATCTGCAATGAGAAAGTTGGATGGAGAACATTAAAGACTGACCACTGAGCAGTTAGAAATCAGATTAACTATTTTTATAGTAACTATTATTATTAACTATAAAAATATACAAGTCCTTTGATCTTGAATTAAAACTCACATGGTCTTTGAAGTACTGCAGGCGATCTCTGTATTTTTTGCGAGCTTGGTGCATCTTGACCATTGACTGAATCTACAGAAAAAAAAAATACATATTTACTCAAATTCAGATTTGACCATATTAAGATTTATTCTCACTGAAAGGACCACTTATTTTCTGCCATGTAGTGTATAGCAGACAGTGAGTATAATCCTGACATTTTATGATGCAAGAAGTGTGGATCTTTTATTTCATCAAAATTTGATCTTACCTTGACAGCATCATCAGCATGATCCTTCAGGTACTGCTTCCTGTCACTGTACTTCTTTCTGTCCTTATAGCCTCTCCAATGGGCCTATAAAGCAAACAGAACCAGAAGGTCATGATTGGCTTGGCCCAAACCAACATTGATGTTATTTTTGTTATTATTTACATTACTGCCTTCCAGTCTTGTTTAGCACTAAGTGAAGGAAGCAAGAGGAGAGTGACCTGTATGCATGTGACAGACGGCTCCTGAGACTTCAAGAACCCAAGACGATCTTTCGTTCCACGTCGCACCAGAAAACCACGGCACCGGGCCTGCAGCTTGGCGATCAGACTCTCATTGGCCAACCACAGTTGCTCTCGGTTATATGCTGTGGTTACTCCTGACACAACAGACTACAAAGACACAGACAGTAAGTAATCAGGAAGAAAAAAATAAAATTACAGTTATATTAAAAGATATAATATATTATGATATATCACAATATGGTGTAATATATATTATTTATTATATACATTGTAAAAAATGAATACTGGAGAGATTTACCTGTATTTCCTCCTTGTTGAGCTCAGTGTTGTTTGGAATAAAGTCTGCAGGCTCTTCCCAGGTGCCTTGTCCAGTCTTGAGGTTATAGTAGTAGTTGTGTCCTCCCTTCACCCAATGTTTCATCCATTCACTGCCATTATCCCCTACCAAAAACCTCTATTACTCTCTCCATCACAAAGTGTAAATGTGATATGTTGTGATATCACCAAACAGTTTAAAACTTGAGTAGAAAAAATAAATTGTACTTGTTTTAATGTAATTATTACTATAGATTTTTTGTACCAAATATCAAAAGAATAAACACAAGCACCCATCTTCACCTTCCTTTTTCTTGTCCTCTTTAATCCGAAACAGGTCATCCTGGTAGGTCTGAGCACATTCAGATGTGACTCCATACAGACCAGCAGCAGGTGAACGCAGGGCTGCCAGTGTCTGAGAAGAGTCCTTGTTATCCACAGTCTCATTAATGGCCTGGATCGCCTGAGAGACTGAAGATGGAAAAGAAGATTATTCTTTAGAAAAACTGAGATGGTTCAAAGAAAAGAATCATCGTAGTATCATAGTTATATTCAAGCTGAGAGATGCAGACTAAATAAGTAAATACACAAACTGAAATAAGTTTCGGAGTTTAATAGCAAGTACACTAAGATTTAAATAAGTATTTTTACACTGCAGAGCATCCTCTGAGTCCTTGTTGGCTCTTAAGATCGCATCCTGGATCTCATCTAACCAAAGCACTGCAGAAGGATCTCCGCATTCCCATACATAACATACATATGAACAGTTCTGTAGTATCTATCAAGGATCAAAGGTGTTATTAATTTAGAATAATTAATAAACAGCATGAGTTCCAGCATCACACACACAACAAACATTCAACAACAAGATAGATATATTCATTATTAGCTCTAAAAACCCAAATTAGCTTCAGTGAGAAATCATTATTAATATCTATAATTTGATTACACTGTTTTAGGATTCAGTTTAGTGTTAAGTAACACAAATCACTTATAACCAAGCATTTGATGGAAGACCTCTCAGTGCCATTATTGCAGGATAAACTGTTATTGCTGTTATTATGGTTACCATGACAAGCATACATTTCTGCTGATCCCTAGGGTTTGTCACAGACGTGCTGTGATAAGGGACTCTCTGAGAGCAGAATTACACTACTCTTGAAAAGAGACACCTCACTTTGCATATGCATTTCATATTTAGAAGTTCAAAAGGATCATTAGACAAAATATAAACCGTGGTAAAAAAAGTGTACCAAACTGAGTACACTACCGCTGAGTAGCAGAACCTGTTACCTGTTCCTTCTGCTCTCGATCGGCCAGCAGCTGTTTGAGGTACCATCCCTTGTTCTGAGCCTGCACTGACTGCAGTCCTAACGCAGGGGAACGGAGAGTGTCATACAGCTTGTCCTCATCACCACTCAGTAGGGCCTGTTCTGCTGAACTTAATGCTTTGGTCACTGAGAAACAACACAAACACAGAGAACTCAGATCGCATCGATCATCAGCCTCAGAAGAGCACAAGAGCTGAAGGTGGACATGGGTGAGGTACATACAATTGACTTTGTTGATGTTTCCCTGGATTTCAGCATGTGTGAGCAGCTCATCGTAAACATCCCTTTCAGCCTCAGTATTCTCTCCAATCTATTACAAAGAAACATACATTTATACCATTATCTTCATACTTTTTTTCAATTCATCCACAATGGATAGGACCAAATCTAAAACTATTAAAAAATGTTTTCATGAAAGGACAAAAGCTGAAAAAATATAATAGATGAAAAACATAAATTTAAAGCTGCAGTCCGTAAGTTTTGCCTCTTTGTCACCATCTCGGTTTGAAAAACTGCAATTGCAGCTATTTGCGGAATTATCTTCCTTGTGCGGCTTGTGCAGCGGCACGGCTCCAGAGCAGATGAATCTAACGTGTGGCTATCAGTCACCGCACCGCACTTTGTATTCAAAGAATCTACATCTTGAAAGTATGATCCAAATAAGAGTTTTCACTGGACAATGTCATTTGAACAAGTAACAACTGCCACTTTTGTTCTGATCAACTGAGGAAAAAAGCATTACAATAAATTGCGCTATGAATGGTTATTAAGTCTAACGATCGGTTAGCTCATATCACATCAAACCGTGCCAATTATTATTATTGTTATACTTTGTTTACAAATTGTTGACGTTAATAACATAAGCATTGCGGGACTGTGTGTATTTAGTGTGTATTAGCTTAGTTTAATATAGTAGTTATAGTTTTGAACACTGGCTGGTTATGTACTTGCTCAAAAATGTATTTTGGATAATATTTAACCAAAAGTTACTGACTGCAGCTTTAAACAAAAATTTGAAATTTTGCCTTGCCAACTACCTGAAATAAAATTAGTTGTACTACAAAAATTTCTAAAACTAAATATCAGGGGGAAAAAACAAATAAAAAGGATAAGCACATAACAAAATGACTAAAACGTAAACTAAAAAAATTTACTAAAATGAAAACTAAAAATAAAAAAATAAAAGCTAAAATATCAATAAATACTATAAAGCCCCGTGTCCACCAAAGTGGTTGTTCCCGAGGCTAGCGTATTTCTTCAACTGTTTTCAATGGGAGTGCCGTGTTTTTTTAAATGCCAGGAGTGTGCCGGCATTTTTTCCACACTGAGCGCTCGGGCGTTTTTTTCTCGGCGCCGAGAGTTGAAGAATGTTCAACATTGAGTAAAACGCAGCACTCATTACTGTCACTTTTTAGTCAGCTGACCAATCACAGTGGAGGAGGGGTGGGACCGATCAACCGTCACACCCTGCTTGTACTACGACTGATCTGATACAATGGAGAAGTTAATATTGCTTGTCTCCGAGTATTTATATCTTTACCAGATGGAACTGCTGGACTACCATATTATTGTTATGTAAAATAAGGCTTGGAAAAACATTTCATTCGCGATGCGTCTGCCATATTACTTCAGCGGATATTCCATATCATAGCAACCACAGCATCTCAACTGAAAAAAAATTCTGCGCTCTGCTGAAAATGCCCAGCTGTGAGTGCTTCAGAGTGCCTGTCGTTTTCAGCTGGCTAAAACGCTTTGGTGGACACACGGCCTAATAATATATATATAAATAATACTGAAATATTAAATAGGTTTTAACTGATTGGACTACACAAAAAGCAATCTAAGACTTACAGTTAGTTGATTCCAATACACAATTTAACAAAGATTTTTGCTAAGCTAAAGATGCTAACAAGAACAAAAACTACAAAGCATACATACAGTGGGGAAAAAAAGTATTTAGTCAGCCACCAATTGTACAAGTTCTCCCACTTAAAAAGATGAGAGAGGCATGTAATTTTCATCATAGGTATACCTCAACTATGAGAGACAAAATGAGAAAAAAAAATCCAGAAAATCACATTGTAGGATTTTTAAAGAATTTATTTGCAAATTATGGTGGAAAATAAGTATTTGGTCAATAACAAAATTTCATCTCAATACTTTGTTATATACCCTTTGTTGGCAATGACAGAGGTCAAACGTTTTCTGTAAGTCTTCACAAGGTTTTCACACACTGTTGCTGGTATTTTGGCCCATTCCTCCATCCAGATCTCCTCTAGAGCAGTAATGTTTGGGGGCTGTCGCTGGGCAACACGGATTAGAAGTTACAGGTCTGTAAGAGCCAGAAATCTTGCTTGTTTGTAGCTGACTAAATACTTTTTTGCCCCACTGTAAATGTTGGGTTAAAAAGTTCATATTGCTTATTTGTTTAATTATTTATTAGATGGGGTTGTTTTTATTGATACTTTGCAGTACAGAATAAAATGCAAGCATGTCTACTGCATATTTTCAGTGATCTTGTCGCAAAGTACATGCACAGGTACATGCCATGTTGCCTGAACTTGGACAAAATTAGTTATCTGACTATGTCAGTGAAGTTTATTGAAGTTGATGTTGACTATAAATTTACATGTATTTTATTTAATAATTATGCTGTCTTCTGTTTAGAACAGCCTTCACATCAAACGTCTGATGCCTTAATGCTGACTATTTAGGCAGATAGTGTGAGACAGTGTTGGATAGTGTGTACATATATTAAAATACACCCTTAGTTACCCAAATATAAAAAATATTTTATTATAACTATCTGTAGAGAGAAGTTCGTACTCTCTTTCGGGAGTTGGCCACTTTCTCAGTCTTGGCCTGGAACAGGGTGCCCTGGTACTGCTGGGCAGCGCTTTCATCCAGTTGCAGTAACATGGCGTTTGGGTTTCTCATGGCAGCTAGAGTGCCTTCAGGGACTCCGTGGTCAATGGCGTCATTGATGGCGATCACAGCAGCGTGCACTGAATCATTACAACAGAAGATAATGCATATATTTTGAGCTCAAAGCAATGTAAAACAGTAATTACCGTGCTGTTAAACTCTTGGCTGTTAAGTCTAGTTGTTTATGTTTACAAGGGAAGGAGTTGTGCCAAAGTGCCAAGAGGAATTCGACTTTTAAAAGCAGAAGCTGAAACAATGCTCACAGGCTGCTTCGTCCACTGATAGCTCGTTGGCCAAAATCCCACCAATTTTGCTGAATGCTGGCATTTGAATGTTGTACTTCTCTAATTCAATCTTCATGTTGTTAATCTCCTCCTCTGAAAAGACAAAAACAACACACAAATAACAAAAAAAATGGAGATTATTTGTCTCAGTGGAAAGTGTTCCGTTTGCTTTCATTGTTTTCTACTGTATGTCACGATTTTATAATCATGGTAACCTTTTGGAAGGTAATCTTGGCTTTGCATCTTTCCTTGCTTTGATGTGATTGGCTGGACATTGTTCTCAATAGGTCTGGTAAATAATGTTTTCCATTCATGGACTTGGCAGGCAGTTTCAGGTCAGCCAAAATGGCAGGAAACGCTCATACAGTTGATAGTGATTTTCACATTGACCACGGCAATGTTATTGTACAAACTCAAGCTTTAGTATGATACTACAGCGAGCTGACTCACCTGTGAAGGCGACCTTGCCATACAGGTCTGTAATCTGGGGCGCAAGGCCAAGTTTAAACAGGTAGAGGCTGTTGAAAGAAACAGAAAGTGAATATGAGAAAGAAAATTCCCCAGAGGAGAGCTATCCTATTCTATAGGTGTGTGCGGGAAAAGACACTACTGCAAAGGGAATCCGATGTTATCTTCATGGCTTTCAATTTCAACATACATCCGTTCATCAATATCAACAACAAACACGCACAACTGGATTTATTACCCCTCACCCCACGTCAGACCCCTGCCAAATTCTTGCCCCCTGAATACTGCTATTTCCTGTTTCTGAAGGCCAGATTTATGGCCTTTGGGCCCAGCGTCAATTCTGCATTGAGCTGGAATGTGAGAGTTACAAATGGCAGGATTCTCTAGCCTCATGTTAAGTGCCTCAACAGAAACCAGAACAGGATTCCTCATTAATTCTGACTCAATAATTCTGAGATGAGTGTAGATGCAAATCAAATCTACCCATCATAACCTTTGCACTTTTATCCATGATTAACTTGATTTAATCAAAAATAGGAGTCTAAATAAAATTGAGTTTAAATATGCATATCGTGCTTAAGTTGGAGAAGCTACTTTGAAACTGCAAGTAGTTAACTTAAAGTAGTTATTTACATGTATTTATCTGTAGCTGTAGGTAGCAGGTATTTATTTGCAACAGCAAAAAACAACAACAAGGGTGACAGACCTTACACTGAACACAAAATAATACTAAATACAACTAATAACACTAAAAATGCCCTAATTTAAAAATTATTTTGCTCAAAGTGATCTAAACTGAATGAGACGTGCAACATAAATCATTCATTTGAACAGGAAGTGTGAATGTAAAGACTACCTAATGAGTCACTAAAACAGATTCATTTCTAAACTACCGTTCAAAAAGTCTGGGTTCAGTACGTTTTTTCATGTTTTTAAAAGAAGTCTCTTATGCTCACCAAGGCTGCATTTAAACTGTTTTCTATTTTAATACATTTAAAAATGGCATTTGTTCCTGTGATGGCAAAGCTGAATTCTCAGCAGCATCACTCCAGTCTTCAGTGTCACATGATCCTCCAGAAATCATTCTGATATGCTGATTTGCTGCTCAAGAAACATTTCTTATTATCAAGGTTGAAAACAGTTGTGCAGCTTCATATTTTTGTGCAAACCATGAGGAATCTTTCATAACACTAAAAATGTCTTAACAGTCAATTTAATGTTTTTCTTTTTCTGATAAAAATTCATTTCTTTCCAAAAAAGAAAAAAAACTTACTGACCCCAAACATTTGAATGGTGTTGTATGTAAACATCCCAGCACTACATAATATATAAAGAGAACCATGTAGGATAGTTTAAATAATTAGTATAGTTTGTAACAGGGTTGTGCCAATAGACGATAGTATTGTGTATCGACGATAGCACATTTCTTTGTCGATAGTCAAGACGATATTAGGCTCATTCTCCTATAAATGTATTAAATTATTATTATTAGGCGGCCTATTATAATTCAGCTATTATTATCAAATTGCCCCGCTATTTCACTTCAGCACCGCAATTCACACTCGCGCAAATGAGGATTAGAGCCTGTCATCCGGTGAAGGAGTCTCCAACCACAAACACAGACGTACATCGTCTGCTGATATAAGGTATTTCCTTGCATTTTAACAAGTAATCTGAATGGCCTATATATGTGCAATAGTTTAACCAAGCCCTCACTAACTGAGTTTAACGCCACAGTTATGTTAGAAAGCATCTCATCCTTGTTTCTGTGGCGGTGCGTCGGGCTCGTCATGGGGCACACGGTCCTGAGCGCTGTATGACTGATGTATCCGTTTAATTTAACTTTACTCCAAATATATGAACGTACCTGTTTTAAATACGTTTATATTTAAAGTGTTCGTTTATGTCCAATATTTAGTGTTAAACTGTTAGTCTTTAAAATAAATCTACTTTTGATTTTCACCGTTGACTGCGGACCTTTTAGACTGATAACTTCCGTGCTCTGATACGGCAAACTTGTCACAGGACATGCGGTCCTAATAGCGATGTATGACTGTTTTATCAGAATATATATGAAATAGCTGTTTTAAATATTTGTATATTTGACATGTTAGTTTATCAGTATGTTTGAAAGTATATTATTTCGATTATTGGTGCTTTCATAGGCTCCTTCTCGCGCGCGGGGGGTTTAAAACACCACATAGTTATGAAATAGTCTATGACAAGTACAGAGAGGCTCTCTCTTGCCCCCACCCACCCATGCACGCACTCACGATAATATCGAGCATCGGTGATCTCACGGGCTGGCGATATGACGATTTGAAAAATGACCATATCGCCCAACACTAGTTTGTAATTAGTGCATGCAGAACTGTGGCAATAGTCAATGTGACAGACAAAAACAGAATTTTGTTACTGAAAAAGCTCCACTATTATGAACTCAGCTGAACTACTGTAACAAACATATATAAGAAAAAAAAATAGTAATAATAATAAAAACTTAATTTACTAGCAACAGTTCTTTTGGTTAGTTTCTCCCCAACAAGAGATTTGTGAATAAGCCCACAGCGACATAGTAGTTACCTGAGAGCATGTATGCAATAGATGCAACGGGGCATGTTCTTCCTGTCGTAGATGTCGGTTGTCTCAGGATAGAAGATCTGACAGGGAGAGACAAGTACATGTATTTTGATTAGACAATGCAGAATTGTTGCCAAACATGGGAAAGAAGTTCAGAGGCAAGCTCTATCATGTTAGTCACTCAATAAAGCAGAAGTAATGCTGCTAATGAAAGAAGCAGGCAGACTCGTGTTCACCACCTACACTCCTCACCTTAGGAAGGCCCTTATCTGTCATTGCATTCAGCCATTGGATGATATTGTCTGTGTGTCTGAAATGGAGCCCGGTGGCCTACAAGTGGGACAAAGAAGAAAGCAACAAGTGAATCCAAACCATCTACTATTTTCATATCAGTGCTTCTGAAAAGGTTTTAAACTTCAGTCTTACCTTGTAGCGTGTTTGTTCGCGGTCATAGATCCTTTTGAGAGAGACCACACTGGGAGCAAAGAAGTTTCCCAGCTTGGCTAGGTACACGCCATTCCTCAGGCCCTCCTCCAGCTCAGTGGTGGGCGGGAGATCCTCATTTAAACACGCTTCAATCCATCTGAAACATGAAGACACATGGCATATTCAGCAAGGCAAGTTTTATACCCAAGGAAGGCAAAAGAGCCTTTATGTTGTTATAAAAGAGACATCGTGTTAGACTGCTTTATTATAATGCACTTGCAGTGCTTGGCACAGTTTTCAAATACATCTGAATACCTTTATTATAGGTTAAACCTCTTGGGGACATACTCAAATACCTTAGATCATCTAAAAGAACCAGTACAAAAGGTGACACTCATGCTATGAAAAGGTGCTCTTCTTCATGTGTTATGAGGTTTGATTACAGGAGCGTTTTGTCCTAAGACCAACAAAATATCACATACCAGCTAGTTATTGACAACATTCTCCTGTACATTTCAACCTGCTGAAGCGAACAGAAAAATATTCCATGAAGGCCAACCAGTGTTGTTTTAAAACAGAAACAACACGACCTGACATACTTCATATATTGAACATCTGGAACACAAGGAAAACGTAGAAAGCAGGAACTGAGATGGAGACTAAACTTTCTTGCTCTGCTAAGGTTTGTCGTCCACTTGCAGGACAGATGGACGACGCAACAATAGATTATGATGCAAATTTACATTACCATGGAATTTCCATGTCATTTACATAATGCTAGTTGTCTGCTTTGCAAAGGCCAATTTTGTTTGCTTTAGAAAAGCAGCAGGCACTTCAGTTTCTTAAAGTCATAGTTCACCCAAAGACGACAACTTGAATCACCTGAATCCCTTTTTTCTGTGTAGAACTTTTGAAGAATGTTCATACAATGAGGGTGACTGTGACTAGGGGTTTAGCTCCAAAAAGGATGAAAAGATATCATAAAAGCAACCCATACAACTCATTCAATGTCTTCTAAGTATCCTGAAGCCATACAATATCTTTGTGTAAGAAACCGGACACATCATATTCACATTGAAAGGAAGTCAATATGCACAAATGAGATTTGAAAACTACAGCAGAGGGGAAGATTATCTGTAAAGAATGTATCGTATGAATTTAAAAGACATGCTATATAGAGATGAATTTTATGGGGCTTTTTTTGGACCTTGTCACTGCATGTTTTCATTGTATGGGAAAGAGCGAGTGAATATAATTCAATGTTAATCTTATGATTCAAAGTCATATAGGTTTGGAATGAGATAGGGTGGGGTGAGTAAATTATGACAACACCTTCACTTCTGTGCAGGCATGTGACGTATAAAGTTTTCATATCATGATCACTGCTAAAACTTTTATTACGGTTTTTAGTATTATCACAGTGTGGAATTGCATTACAAACACAGGTTAAAAAGATAAGAGATCAATTTTAATAACATTTCCAAATAACAAAATGAACATTTAACATTTAAATACAATAAAGCAAAACACAAATTAAAATGTGAAAATGTGTAACTGTAAACAAATGTTTGAAAATAATTATCAAGTATGTAGGCATTTGCTGTTGTCTGATAAACACCATAGCAAATACAAAAATCTGAATTGCTGTTTGAATTCATTTTAATACTACACTCTGAACATTCTGTCTGTTGTTAGGATGACAGGATATTTTAGGCCGGTCTGCCTCATCGAACGCTCATCAATGTCAAAAAGTTCGAGATGGCCTATCAAATCAAAGAAGGTGGGCTTTACCGTTCACAAGTGTCGAGCATGAATTCCAGTGCAGTGCTTTGGTTATAATGGTGAAAGGGTGCAAGGTAAGATGCAAGTTGTCAAATATGAAATGTTTTACGATAACTGCTTTAAATAGAAACTTTTTTTTAATGGTTAAATAAGGCTCACTGAGCTCTGCCAGACACATGAGGTGCTGCCTCTCTCCATCTCACTCCACTCATCCCAGCATTCAGAGATGGCTTTGGCATGCCAGTTGACATTAGAGGTGACAAAGGAAATCTCCAGGGCCCATATTTGCCTGCCGTTCACCGTTCCACACGGGGCCCGCCGGATGCATTATGAGCCTGCTGGGTTTCTTCACTGCCTTCTTTCTTTTCTCTGACCCGCTTTCTACCTTGTCATCCAATCAACATTCTCATCTTAAATAACAAGCAGATTGAGAAGAGGTGTCTTCAGAATCTCTGCTGCCAGAGCAAAAATACTATTTTTGCAATAGTTGGTACCCACTGTTCTCTCCATTTCACAGTAAGCCTTGCTGGACCGTGGATTGGCATTCCAAAGCTCCTCAGCTCTGGAACTCTTCTTTCAGGAATTGGCTACTCCTTCTGACCCCAGTCTATCATTTTGTCCCACTTGAAGGACTGCAATCCATTATCCATTTATTCCATGTTTAATTTTATTTCACCACCACAAAATGCAATTAAGCACAATACATAATCCAAAATGAGGTGGAAATTACATTGTAGCAGGCCCATAACATTGAGGGGCCCAAGTCTTGCCCATGAGTTAGAACTGGCCAAATTGTTGGTCTGCCTCAGAGATCTAACAACACTCGTCATTGTGAAAATGATTGAGAGGGCCAATCAAATCAAAGACAAGGTTACGGTCTTGGATAACAATACCTCTACCTGATCTGTGAGTGCCCACACAGGACACATATTGTTAGCAGCAGCCTAACAACCTTCATTCTGCCTCTCAACTGAAAAACACTCTGCAATGGTTCTTTGTGATGGACATGCCTGCACTCGTGCACACACACACACACACACACACACACACACACACACAGAGGCGACACACCCAAGTCAATGCTATTAATGGGCCCTGAGAAGTGAGAATGACGCTAAATAAAATCTGAATTCCATTATTAACATATATGAAACTATTCATGAATACAATCTGGAGACATTTCAAACTTAAGTAAAAAATAACTGAGACTGTAGCTGAGAATGTGTAACAGTATCTATCTACTACAAAGGACTTCCTTTTAGTGTGACACAGAAAGAATAAAGCCGCACAGTTCACAGGTCATTCCAATAGGAAGAGGTGAGAGTGAGTTCACTGTCTTCCAAGGAAGACACACAAGGGCTTTCCGCTCCTGTTTTGTAACACTCCAAGAATAATATTTAAGGGGTCATTTTGTGAGAACATTAAATCAAACTGTCCTCATGTTACATTTTCCCTGATCTTTTGGAAAAAGTTTGAAGCAGGACTGGATGATACACTGAATAATAGCAATATTAAATCACAATAATTTTGTTGGTGACAAAATTAGGGAATATTGTGAACATTGCATAAAATATCAAGATATACATTTTAGCTATATTGCTTAGCCCTAGTTTAAAGTGCTATAAAACAATACTGTGACTTCCTCTCCATTACAAAAATAACATAGTTAAGTCTATGAAGTCAGAAAATTGAAACATTTAACACATGACCATCCACATTTTCATGACAATGACACATAATCAAGTGTTGAGATACTTGGGCCACCCAGTCACAGTGTGGTAATGAAGGAGGAGAAAGAACAGATACTGTTATTCCTAAACAGCAGATTAACTAACAGTTTGAGAGGCAGACTTCAATGCAGATGTTGTGATCCTGGGACAGTGGATGGGACAGTTAAAAACTATACTGGACCAGACTCATCTGTAGCCCATCAATACAGTTCCACTTGTCATATGTGAAAAGGGCATTATATAGGAACCTTAAAGTCACAGCAACAAAAAACAACAAAAATCTAATTCCAAGAAAGAGAAAGAAATTTCAAAAAGAAAAAAAAAAACCTTAACCTTAAATGAACATAAGTGAAAAAATTAAAAATAAGCATGATAAGACCCTTTCAAACACAATCACTGGACAAAATACTCATTAGTAACTATGTATCACGTATCAGTAAATATATCAGTAAACATCATTTTGGCTGGGACTCAATGGATATCAACACATTAACTGCATTTTTTACAAGCTTGGTATTTGAGTGCTCACAGCTACAGACCACAAACAGTCACTTCCTCACCCATACCAAAAAAAATTTAAAAATTCAAAAGGCACACTCCTAGACAGTTACTCCACCAATCAAATCACAACACTGCGTGAGAGGGCGGAGCCTTTAGAGGGAGTCATTACAACCACTACTACAGCATTTGAGTTTACAGGCAGTTACAATTATGCTCACAAGTTTACATTTCCCCTGCAGAACCCATGAGATGTTTAGTATTTAAAGAGAGAGAGAGAGAGAGAGAGAGAGAGAGAGAGAGAGAGAGAAAGAGAGAGAGAAAGAAATAAAAACTCTTTTCAAGTATTACTCTTAAAAATCTGCACAACAAAAATCTAAGATTATCCCATAAAACAAAATAAGTTATTACAAATTATCCTGTTTAAAAGTTCCCTTAGATCTTAATAAGTGTTGCCTCTCAGCAAAACTACTTGCAATTTAAAAGTTTGATTTCAGTGAGACCAGCAATAATTTATCTTTTAAAAAGCCATGTAAACGCTTGAGTTCATCTGATATCATACCCATCTTATTTTGCAAAGTCAGACAAACAGACCAAGAAAATGTGACCGTAAATGTGACAAAAAGTGCACATTAACAACTGGCCACAACAGGTGACCACGATGTGCATTTAATCCTCCAAATATTCGATTAAACCTTGTGTCACATATACCTGCGCTGCGTCCCAATGTGCCTATACTACTCCTTTAAAGTATGTACTCTTTTGGTGAAGAAAAAGTACACACTTTTGAGTGTGTAGTAGAAGAGTAGGCAAGCTTTGGGACATACTATCACGTCACACAATTGCGTCTTTAAAGGACCGCTCTGTCACACCTGTTGCAAGCACCCTGTCACTGTAAACTGGCCTGTCAATCATCTTGTCACAGTTAACATCCTTCACATTTCATTTCATTTCACTTCCTACCGTACTGGAGAGAAAATAAGTAGCTTGTTGATCTGCCAGTCGCGGGTCTTTAATGCGGAGAACTCTAGAAGGTGAAATATAACATGGATAACAATAAATAAATATTTTTTACCAGGTTAAATGTTGATTATTAGTAACTCAAACCCCTTTTTGTAAACCTCTCTACCTAATCGTCGATCACGCG